TATGATAATAATGTTTAGTATAAAACCCGTGACTAAAACTCGTGATTAAAGTACTTTAGTCACGGCCGTGTATAAAGTACAACTTTTTGTGTCTCAAAACCGTGGAAAACTAGCGCTTTTTGGGTGAAAATAGAAAAAATATTTTTGGTTTGCGATTTGTTTGCGTTTGTAATGAAAATTTTTGTTTTCTGTTATTTAAAAGTTAATATTTTACATTTTAATTCCGGGTATTTTATTCGTATGACGTTTCCATAAAACAAATACCATTGTGCGCATGGTGAAAATGTTCGTTCAGCTCGTTTGTGCAATTTTCCTTCGTTTCCGAACGAACGCGCGTGGAGTGTGTAGGCATTCACCAGAGTTACCATGACAACGATTCTAATTGCTCGTACCTGCCAACACCAACTTACTTCAACACGGTAGGCAGAAATAGGGGTGGCCCCGAACAGCCCTCGTTAGTTTTCCCCGCAGTTTTCGCCCAAAAAACCATAAACACGAGCGCCAAACGCCCACCCATAATAATATTACACGAGTTATGCTCGCTTCGAATGCGGACGAAGTGGGCAGGAAAATCCAATTCATTTGCGCATCTATCTGAAGCGCCTCGCCGCTTTACAGCCAAGATTCCTCCTTCTTCGCGAACATAGTTTGGCATGTACTGTTTACCATCTGCTACGACAACGCCGCTGTAACGACGTAAACGAGAACGAACACCACGTCGTGTCGCGTCTTTTGGCACAAACTTTGCGCGTTTTCATGAGGCTGATCATCATTCATTCGGAAATCTCCTCAGACGTGAAATATGATTTATAACTTGCGGATGCTTGTTCTTGCGTGTGCGCGCCGAGCATTTTTCCACGTCTCATTTTCACACTCACCCCCTCAAGGCATCAGCGTTTCTTTACAGCGGCGAATGTGACGAAAAAAGGTGCAGTCGCGCGAGCGCTATAGGCATCCAGTGCCTTAATAGTAAATCGGGAAGGTCGAGGAGGGTTGATGGCTTCAGGGGTTGAGGGTGCAACGCCGTGCATAATTCAAAGAACACGCCGCGTGAGCACGTACATGCATGTGTACCTGAACATGATGGCCTGTCAGTTCACCCTGCAACCCCCACCCACAACCACACAGCCTACACTGTTCGACCGATTCGTGTACAACAACTTCAACTCGGTGTTAACCTCTCACGCTAGCAGTTGTGTAGGTGTGCGGGATGTGTTTTACCTATACTAAACACCACATTTGTTTTCCTCGGACAGGGGCGGTTTAAACAAAGTCGAGTGAGTTGTCTAAGCATATTCTACAACTACATCAATCTTGTTCAACCCAAGCGGAGCCATTTGTTTTGCAAACCGACCAATGAGGAAATAATAACTAGTTTAGTTATAAATACCAATGACGTCTGTCAATATTCAGCGTTGCTGTTTATTCTTCCATTCAAACTGGAATTACTTAGGGCTTGGCTGTCGGTTGTAGAATTGAACATGGTATAATGAGCAGGAATTAGGAATTAGGCATTACGTTCGCCGGCGGTCAAGGGTCCTCGGCGCGTCGTCCGGGCAACTAAAACCAAACAAACCAGGACTCGCACTTTACTGCGGCCCACACAAGGCATTTTCCTACGTCCAGCATCGATTATATTCGAACCTACGAGCAGATGGAGCAGTTGGAAGCTCTGATATTACCATAAATACTTATTCTTCAAAATAACGGGAAGCAAAACATTTTATTGCAGGTTTTTCAATTTATTTTCTATTTTTAACTAAAAAATTACTGGGTTTTTATGTTTTATTGATATTTTTGATAAAATTTTTAGTCTAACGAACAAAAGCTTCATTGTTGAGTGAGGTATTATGAGTGAGGTTATAATCTATTGTATTAAAACGGAAACTATTACTAAAACCTAATCCTTTCAGCAAATTTTATAGTTTTGATAACTACCTCAAAGGTCTCCAAAGAGTATCCGCGGAACTCTCGTTTCAAAGCTGTTTACGACACAGCGTATATCTTCTTTATCCGTGCGCTGAAAGCAGAGCGTTAAACAAACGACTAAAAGGTCCTGAGTCGCGACGAGCGCGTCCACAGTTTCGGGTTCGACGTGCGGTCGCTTGATAAAAACATAACTCGGCGGGCCCGTGTGCACGAGTGCCTCCTAAACTATCATAAACCGTGTCGGTTGTATTTGTTTATTGTCGCGTGCTTGTGGCGGTCAGCGCCATTCGCACAATGGCCGGCAACGCCCGTCGACGATAAATTAATCCGTGCGCAAATTTATAATAATACGCGCAGTGCAACGCCAGCGTTGCCCGAAAGTGTTTCGCCAAGCGGTCAAGGGTTGAATTATACACTCGAAAAACCCTCTTGTTCCATTTTCTGCACGAGCATGAATAATAATTAATTTCGGAATTAAAATTTAATAAATATTATCGAAAAGGGGAATAAAATTACGAATTTATTATATTTATAGTTATTTAACACCTGTAGTATTAAACTAAGCGTAAAATTGATGAATTTCAAAGTTTATTTTATAGTTTAACTTTTAAGTGTTGGAAAACATTAATAATAGATGTTAAATCTTGCTCAAACATGCATTAAACCCCAAATCGAAACAAAGGCACGTTATTTTAAGTTTTATTCGCTTTTTTTCGTCCTCATTTTCCACATCGCTTGCAATTTTTATTACTACACTGGGTAACTCAGAATTTAATCTAATTTTATAATTTTATTCGCATTACAAGCACGTTTAATTCACGTTGTAAGCAACAATTTTTTTATTCATGAGCTATTATTCTGTCTTAGCCTGTATATTTGTATTTGCAATACGTGCCGACACAAAAGGATCGTTCCGAATTTAATTGCTTATTAAAGCCACCATTAAACGCTTTATTACACTCGCTTCCAGAATCATTAACTTTCTATATATTTTCTTGTCATCTTGGTTTTGTTTTTCGGATTTAATCTCTTCTACCATGTCGTTGTAGTTTTGTACTTTTCCAAACTTGCATCTCTCCCCAAAACGGCGTCGAAGCTCAGCGTTAATCTCGCCGAATTTAGTTCGCGCTCGCGTTATGATAAATGATAGTCGACGACAGAACTATCCGAAGTTATCCCCCGCACGCTAACCCCCATGTTGGTCATATTCAACGGCAGCGGTTCATATATCTATCAACACATCTGCAACGTTCGTAGAATGTGACCAAAATGTAATTTATTACGTTGACGAGACGTCGTTGCCGGCGCGCAGCGCGTTTGATTAAAAGTAGTCGCGCGCTAATCGCATTAATCCAATTTTGCTCGCTGGCTAAAATGCGCGCGCTCGGCCGTACGGAAATAAAACGCGAAAATGTGGAAAATCCGACTACGCGAACGCTTTCGAGTATTAAAATGGCGGGCGCGCGGAAAGCAATATTGCAAAAGCGGTCGCGAGCAACGGATGTAATAAATAAAAGAAAAAAGAATGCGTGCACGTTACGGAAAGTCTCCCGTGCTTATGCATTAAGATGCTGTGAGCTCGAGTATTAAAATTAATTTCACGTCATTATTATAACGATCTGAGAAGATGGCAGGTACCTAATTTGAAAATTTACAAAAATTACTTCCGTTAATAAAAAATAAAAGTATTTTTAATGTTTGGAAAGAGTTGTAGGTCGAAATGAGTTTAATTGCACTTTGAGAACAAGTAATTAATAATTATTCCTTTGCTTGGTTTGAGGTAAATTTAATTCGATTTTAAAACTCTTGACATTTTAATGTGGTAAGTAAGATTTTTAAGTTTTATCGACAAACCAGTTGAGAATAAAATAAACTAGTTAAACTTCAAGTAGAGAAAAAACTGGCGAAAAAGAAAGAATTCTGACAATTTTCATCGCAGCGCAAAGAATCGTCTCAAAAGTCTCTTGGAACGTGCAAAAAGTAGAAAAGTAGAAGTAGAAGTGGAAGAATAAACTGCGAAAAGACCGCACGCTTTCGAGTTTTTCAACTTTTTCAACTCCGGTGGCGAATAACTCGAATTTTTGCCTCCGCCACGCAGACACTCCACGTCAAAGCATCCTCGCAGTCACTTTCTCGCGCAAAATAAGGAAATGAATTATGCCGTAAAGTTCTCATTGCAATGCACAAAAAATATATGAAACCAATATCAAGTTTAATTGGATATTAGTATTCGGAATGGGAAATATATTTCGTGAACGCCAATCAAACTGAAAATCCCGAAACACAATTACAAACAAAACGAAAATAAAAATAAAAAGTTACATAGCAACGAGTATGTACCACCCCCGCTAGTTTGCCGGATTCGATTTTAATTTGTATTGACTCCGGTCTGTTCTACCATTCGTGCGGCCGCAATTTGTGCGCCAAGGTAAACGAACTGAAGCGCCCATTGTTGTTCGCGAGGGTGATTATAATATTGGAATGGCGGATAAATAGGAAATTTGATCGAAGGCGCGCTCGCGCGCGGCGTGATTATGGGTTCCGGATTGTTGGAGCGCAACAAAGGGGAGAGGAAGGAAGAGAAGTTTGCACAGCGTGATTTTCCATTATTTCCCATTCTAACGAAACTTATTATCGGCGGCGGGCAAACTTGGGCACTCGAGAACTAGCGTCGTAAGGAGATTACGCAAAACTCTTTTCATATTAATAATAATCGTTTAATACCGTATTATCCGCTGGGGTTAAACCTCGTCGAATGATGACAAGAATCACAACCGAAAAAGACGCATCAAGTAATTCATTAAATTTTAATTAATAGCGGAATATTGATTAATTTAATTTAGCTGGACTAAAATAGTTTTGGTAGATGCACAAAACATGAGTGGTTGGTTTATGACCGGCGAGTGAAATTTTACTTTTTGTGGCCGGTGGGCATCAGCCGCCCCCGGACATGTAATAAACTATTTAATATTCTTGTCGCGTAATTGCGCTACGTTTAGTAGCTGGCGCAGACCGGCGACATTAAAAATGCACACTGCGCTATAGAAAATTAAGTTGATTTGTTGTTTTAGGGCGATGTAATCATGGCAGCCCTTGTATGCAATTGTGCTACGATCTGCACGATGGGATGTACGAGTGCGACTGCCGTCCCGGCTACACGCTGCACGCCGACGGCTACAGTTGTTACGGTAAGCTATTCTTCCGTTTAGTTTTTGTGTTTTTACCACATTCAAATTTCAAATTGCGCAGTGAGATAAATTTTTTTATTGCGGACTATTTTTTCACTATAAAAACAACGTTTTTAAATTTTTTTTGATGAAAAACCAAAAATTTTACATATCAAAAGTGGAAAGCATTGAATTTTATTCTTGTGCATATGAAAATCTATATTTTCTACTTTTAATATATAAAATAATATAAAAATCGTCTTGTGATCAACATGAAATAAATGCCAATTTTTTTTTCGTTTTTTTACCTTTAACTCACCACCCAGGAAAATTCATATCCTCCGGATTGTCACGCAAATCCTCGTGCAAAGCGTGTGCAGCATGCGATGAGATGCATCGCACCGAGACCAGAAAATAATTTTCTTGCTCGATGTCAATATCCGTCAGAGGAAAACTTAAAATATCGAACGTATATATATTTGTAGAATAAATGAGTTTCCCATACTCGCATACACACCAGCCACCGAGCAACCCACGCATATAACTTCGATAGGCGGAAGCGGAAAATATAATAAACGACGAGGCGCAAGCGGCAACCGGCAAGATCCTCTCCGCACGGATCGATACTTTGGCGGAGGCGGTAGTGGCGGAATGTAATGTTGTGCGGCGGTTATAATGCGCGAGACAAAACACGGCCGCACGTCGCACGCCTCTGCGCAAAGACGCAATTAAATAAAACAGAAAATTAATCGTCCTCGAATACTTTAAATGGGCAAACTTTCCAACCGAAGCCACGTTCCGCGCAATCGGGGAGGACGCGCATCCGGCGCGTCGAATTTATAATGCTCATCATACTTTCGACTTACATGCATTTTATTAAAACTTTTGCGTTCGGCCCATCGCAGCGCGGAAGCCTTTTTATCCGCGCATATATTTTCAAAGCGCGCGCGTTTTAATTAAATCCTTTCTATTTGTCACAAGCAAACATGTCTTCCTGCGAGCGACGCGTACAAGATACTGTTACATACGCAAATATACAAAATTATTTGTTCTCGAATCGATTGTACAAACAAAAGTTTCACATTTTCAGTCAAAAAACATCCAACAAACGAATTGTTTGAAAATGCAAATACATTTTCAACTTTTCGTATTTTGATACTCCGGGGGCGGTTGCAAGAAGTCTAAGCCACCACCGGGATTAATGATTTTATTGTATTGTTTCTAAACAATTTATAAGCCGCTTAGGCTGCCGCCTAGCGACCAAAAACGCAAGGCCGGCCTAATTTTCTTCACTTAACAATGCGAATTTGAATATAAACATCGTTAAGTATTCTCACCTCGAACGAAACAGAAAGCGGCATGCGGGGGCGGCGCTGTGGGAGGTTTTTGTGCTTCCCGAACACGTCGCTTCAATTTGTATCGTGCACACGACGCACCAACTCCACTTGGGTTGTTTATTCCAATTTCAAATTCACTTATTTTTCTAAGGAAAGTGGATATTTTGCTGAGGAAGCCATTTCTGAAAGGAGTCACTATCAAACACTGTCGGTGTTTACACAGATAATATCAAAACATATTTTTTAACCGAAAAATAAACAAAAAACATAAAAATTTAGTTTTTGTGTTGATGTTTATTCATGTTAATGAAATGTTAATGCAAAATCCGAATTTCCGCAGTATCCTAATAGAAAGACCACCTAATCCTGTATAAAGCCCGCTCGCCGGATGCATAATCATTGACAACCTCCATCGATGCGCGCAAACATGTAACACAAGTGTGATTGGATCGCCCCGATAGACGATCGGTAGTTAATTACAATCTAGTACGGCAACATGTGGTCCCTGCGAGTGTATTACAAGCTCATTTGGTCGCGTGAATGCAAATTATGATTCAGTCCAGAGTGAATCAAATTCGATGGCTGACCGAACATTTAGCGCGAAACAAAAACAAGGAAATTTATTCGATTGACAGCGGGGGCGACGAGTTACGAGTGGCGCACGCTCTCTGCACTCCCGGGGCACAAAAAATATGTGAAATTAAGCTTGAAATGAGGCAATTCCTATGCGATTCCTAATACCGAATCACTGCCATTCGTGGGTTTAGTTTCGGGTGCAAAACACCAACTCGTCGGATAAAAAACGGCCAGCTGGCGCGATGCCAGCAAACATAAATTTTTATTATTGCCGTTCTTGCATGCCGAAACGCCTCGAATATCGACTACAAGTAGTACAACATCAGGAGTTTTAATATCCTGCTGTTTGCCAACTGATTACCAGAGCGTACGCTTTAAAATTGTCACTTTAAACAAATTGACATAGAAATTCATCCTGAATCAAAATAAAACATTTTTAATTTTTTTAAATTTAATTTTTAAATGTTTTACGCTTATTGTATGATTGGTTGCCTATATAATTATTTTTATTTCATGGTTATGTACAATGTGTTTCTTAAAAAATCAAATTTAGATTTGAAGGACAAAAATAACACGAGACAATACAAAAGCGCGCCTCCACCATGACAAAGCTCATGGTAAATCCAAATGAAAGCAAAAAGCACTCTGAATTATTAAGAATACAAACAAGTAGGTACTTCTGTTAGAAAAATAAAATAAAAAGCCCGCCGTGTTTTTTTTTGTTCTCTGTTTGCCTGCCCACAATACCGTACGATTGCCATTTCATTTCCACCCACACAGATTCAATGAGGAAATTCAAAGCATTGTAGTATTTACCTGCGGTCGTTCAAAATGGAAACTTAAATTAAAACACACACACACATTCACACTGATTCATTGCGGCAGTCAAGGCATTTTCCACTCTGTGCATTCTCGTACGAAATAGGGTGGTTGACGTTGAACCGCAAATCGCCGGACCGCAACAATTAGTCAATGGCATATTATGAATGGTTTATTGTGTTGTTTAAAGCCATAGTCGGGATATTATAGCAAATCGAATCCGCGTCGAGAAACGGCGTGTTGTTTCCGGTCGCAACGACATCTGCATTATTTATGCGACTTTCAATAGGACGCGCACTCCCGCGGGACTGCAGCGTGAGGCAATAAATAATGAAATTTTGATTAATACCGGAAAGAGGCGAGCAGCAGACGTCGCACGGAATTAATTAAAAACGTGCGCTATATTTGACTGGGTTGCCCAACTAATTTTAATTATAATTTCGAGTCTTAATACGGTCAGCCCATCGGGGATTAGAGGGTCGGAATTTTGTGCGTGCATTATCCCGTCGAGACAAACCCTTTATAATCTCAATGCGTCAACACTGAGATGAACGTTTTCACCAAGTTGTCATGTATAAACCGAACAAAACATAATACTTACAGTACAAGCACAGTGACAGAAAATTATTTGAGCTATTATACTGAGTTAAATTTAAATTTTAAAAAAATTAAATTTTTTTGTTGTAAGAATGTAATTTAATGCAATGTGTCTATGCTTTCAGAAGTAAATACGACAGGATCGCCACTAGAAAACGAAATAGTCAATATCGATAAGGAGTACTACTTAGCCAATAATTTGAACAATGAAGAAGATATTTTGTACCAGAAGGATGCGGAGCTGGACGCCGAATTCAGCGCCGGAGAGAACTACACGGACATATACAAATTGCAGTTCTATAATGCGACGGAGAGCGGCGGCGGCGGCGGTGGAGGAAGCACCACACAAGCGCCGCGCTTAGAACAAAAGCTTACCGAGATATCGACGCAGGCGAGAGCCACCGCTCCCATCGCCACCGAACGACCATGTCCGCTCGAGTGCGGCGCGGGCGGTGGATGCGTCCTGCGGGACGCCGAAGAGCCGGTCTGCCTCTGCCCGCTGGGACGCGGCGGACTGCGCTGCGAAAAAGGTCAGGACACTACTTTACTTTGCATTCCATCCGCGATCCCATCTGTTTATCCTCGGGATACGGGCAAAAATAGTCGCCGGCTTATTTGCATGATGGCGGGCTGTTTCCGACCCGACGGCTTCGAACGCGCTTCAAACTTTGCCGACGCTGCATTGACTTATCAAAGTCGAAAGTCGAAACAATATCATATCGCGTCGAAACGAAATATTTGTCTTGGCCAAGTCTCAAGTATACTTACGAATAGATTAATTCACATTTTGATATTATTTCGGAGAAAATACGAAAAAATTAATTAAAATGTTCTTCTAAAATGTTTAAAACGCAATTACATGAAGCTAAAATTTATGCGACCTACAAACATTGCTTTTGTCCCGACTTAATTCTTGCTCCACACAGAAACAACAAGAAAAAACAACACACAACGAAACCGAGACCCGTAACAAGAGCCAAAGCAGTATCCAAGGTTTTTTCGCTCTGAAATAAAGCTCAAGTTGGTTTTATTGCCCTGCTATATATATATACACCTATACTGTACGCGTTGGCTTTTCATTGGCACGCGAAACGAAATCGAAATAGTCGCAGCAGAGCTCCGGCGTGTTTATAAATTTCACTCGGCCGTGGAAAATGAGACCGGTTTAAAGCGAGCAAAAATTCAATAATGGTTTCCCGACCTAGCCTTTGCATTGCTTGCCCTAGAGGGGCGACAGCGACGCGTTGTGCACCCATTCGATGACGGGAAAATTGAATACACGTATCGCCTTTATGATGGTTGAATGCAGTGCGCGTCGAGGCTCCAAAAGGAATATTGTGCATTGTCGTCATTTGTCGACAAAGCCAGCTTTCTATTTCTGTAGGTGCTTTTTACGGAATGCAATATTTGCATGACGCAAAGTTAAATATTAGATGATTGAAGAGATTTTTTGCGTGTATTTGAAAAGCGACGGTGTAAAGTTTAAAAAGGCAATTTCCTGGAGTTATTAATTACTTATGGAAATACTTCAGTGCAGTAATTTTAGAAATTGATAGCATATTTGTTCCAATATAGGTAAAATTTCATTTTATTTAATTTTTTAACCGAAATAGTTGATTTTCTTTTTTAAATTTCAATTTTTTAATGTTTTGCTTGTGTTTTACTAAATTATCAGTTGAAAAACAAGCAAAACACTTAAAATTACATGAAAGGATAATAAAAAATAAAAATCAAAAGATATTTTTTAATTAATGAACTTTTTTTCAAATATTCTGAATGAACCGAGCAATGCGTATTGAACATATCACATGAATAGAGAATGCAGAATGCTGATCAGAACTGGCGAGTCAGCAACATCGACCAAGTATTCGTAATTCCACCCTCTCGCAATGAAACTTTGCAGACGCGAATCGCAACGATGCAGGTAAATATCAAATACGCCGCCGACCGGCAGTTGATTTGCGTATTGTGAGAATGCATCCGGACTGCGTTGCGTTCCGAAGTTGCTGTCGCGTTTGCATTTATCGTTCGTAATTTGTATGTCTGGCCATCGACGTGTGTTGGCGATGTTTCAACCCACACACTCACCTTTAGTGCATTGGCGTAACCAATGGTCAAAATAGCAATAGCAACGGATTGATTGGATTGTATGCGCTGCAGGATACGTGGACAGGGTGGCAGTCGGGCGCAGGTGGGATTCAGGAGTAGAATGAGGGGATGTGTGAGTAGATATCGGCGTCGAAGTAAAAGCGCACGATTGAATAGAGTCGCTCATAAATTGGACGAATTACGATGGAATAAAATGGCCGATGAAAGCAGCAAGCTTTGCATTTGCTTTCGATCTGCTTCCGCAACAAATAAAGCGGACATTGGCTGAAAAAAAAAGGTTGAAAGTGCATTCAATTGATATCAAGTCGTTTGATATCGTTTAGTTTCAAAATAATCAATTTATTGACTGCTTTTTTCAAGGAAGTAAAGTTTTACACTGAAAATAAAGCTTTTACATCAAAGTAGACTGTAATGGTAGGTGCATTACATACTTAGAGTGGAAAAGAATCATTTTCGATGAGTGTAAATATACAGGGTGCCATGTAGTTCAAGGAAATTAGGAATTAGTTTGTGGAAATTAGAAATATGGGTTAATTTGTTTTAAAAATTTGATAAAAATGAAATTTTTATTTCTTTTTGTAATTTAACAAGCAAACAAAATATTTTTTACAATTTTTTCATGATTTATGACAAAGGGGGCTACCAAAAAATTGCAATTTGTGTAAATATTATTCCCGCCAATGGTCGATATCAAATGTAAATATTTAACCAAAACTTTTCACATTTTTTAAATATTTGAATATTTTCCCCGCAATTGTTTGCGCATTGAAAATTGCTGTGATAATGTTTGGCAATTAATTCAGCTTAATAGAAGCTTTGCACAGTTAGTGCTTTAAAACTGAATTATTTCGCAATTAGTTTAAATTTCAATAAATTTTAATTACCTACGTGCTCTGCATATTAGAGCAAACGAACCGATTATTTGCGATTGCAAAATTTATTGTTTTCGCACTTATTAGCTTATTACAAAACAAAAAAAGACAAACTGATAATGACAGATTAATTAGATTAAATGATTTATGTGTGTTTTCCTTATAAATTAAAACACGCATTGTAATGGTTGTTCTTGAATCATTATTCACTTACTAAATTAATACCAAATTTGTTCGGGGAACGGTTGTGGTAATAATTGCTGCTGTCGCAAGCATAGAAAAGCTTTTCCAGCGATGTAAATGATAATTGTTACCTTTTGTGCACGCGTAGTAACTTGCCGGTGACTGGTCTGACTTTATGCGGCTTGCGTGCGCGACAAACAGTCGAAATTCTTGGATGGCGTGACTAGGAGCAGTCTCACTTTTATTTTTCCTTTGCCGTGCGGTTAATAATGGAATCGTCTACGCCGTAACATGTGCGGCTAATAGTCTCGAATGGAAATTCTAGCGTCTAACCTTAACACTGTTGAAATCAGAGCAAACATAAAATTTGTATTTAATTCCCAAGTGAATAAAGTCGACTATAAAATTTAGATGGATAAAAAACCAATTTAAGCAATCTATAAATTTGGGTAGTATTGATTTTCGATTTTAATCAATTGCAAGAAATAAGGGGAAAACCCCTAAAAAGTTTGGAGGAAAAAAGATAAAAATTGTAATGGTTGTTGTCGGCAATGGGGTGAGACGACATGCCCCAATTGAAATGGGAATTTAGGCAATACCAAGTACGATTCAGAGGGTTTACGATCAGATAATGATGCGTTTCTTATTAATGCGAAAGCCACTTTTAATTAGTTCCTGTTGTCGGCAACATTTCTTCACCAAATGAACGAAATGCCCAAGCGTACATACAAACACCTTAATACTCGCCTACGTGCAAACGAAAAAGAAGAGCGATGAATCACAAATTGCCATTTAATTACGATATAGATAGCTGGCGACGTACAACCCTCGCCTCGTGCTAATGCAACATCAATTTTGATGTAAATTTCGCTCCGAAGCAAAACTTTTTCTCCGCGCTCGACGTAAAATATCGTGTCGCTGCGCGTTTACATTGCTTAATTGAATGCCCGGGATTTTTTCATTGCATGTAATCTTAAATTAAGTCTCCGGGAAAAGCGGCGTCACTATTAAAATGAAATTATGCAAATTTCACAAACGCCGGCGTCTCGCTTTACGTCCTCAAGTGGGTTGGCCCGGCGCATCCACCATCCGCAAAACATGCATGGCGAATGCATTGTATCGCGCGGCACAAAGAGAACGCCAGTGCGGCCATTAGCGGCACAGAGGTAAGTGAACATCGAGCACCCGGCAATACTCGCAGAGAGAAAAAACATCATGCGGCAGAATTATTTATAATGCACACGCTAACAAAGCGCACGAAATGGCGGCGCGCAATGCGAACGAATGGCGGCAAGCGAGTATCAACGTCACATTTTATCGTTTTATGGCTTCACAGAGCCCGGAAGACAAACGTCGGCGTTTCAGTTGTTGTATTTTTATTAAAGATATGACCACGTCGTAAAAGGAATGATTTCTTGAACAAAGGATAGAAATTCTAGAGACATTTACCTGAAGGTTTATTTTTAAAATAAGATAGGCAACACACATTACTTCAAAGTCCGCATGCAGCAAAAATTGGCTTTAATTTTCTTTTTCTTTATTATAACCTATAAAACTACATTTTGTATTTTACAAAGACAAATATAGTATGCCATTAATGCACATGTTTGCATCGAAAATCGACCGCATCAATAATTAAACCGTATATTATCCAATTGTTGTGTGAAACGGTGGAAAATTCAAAAACACATTGAATTGCATGTCAAGCTAATCGACAACTTGTCGAACTACATTATCAGTCGTCGGTTGCCTATAAATAATGTTTCACACATTGTTGTTTTCCAGGCGTTTTTGTGCAAAAATTGAATAATTACGAACAAAAAGCAACGAACTCATTTGGTGTCACACGCAGGCCGCCCACCGCGGACTCCAATTACACGAATTTAATTGCCGCGCACATGCGTAATAATTGCGTTTATGATTGATTGATGACTTCGGTTTGTCAATATACGACTACACCACCGAGCACAACGCATGAAAAATTGCCACGTCAGCTTATAACGGTTATTTTCCATATTCCACCAAGCAATGTATCTTTTTTATTTATTGTGCGTGTAAGTTATTTATATAAGCAATTTTCGATAAATTTTCTTTTTGATCTGTTTGTATGGCGTGTGCGAATCGAGAAAGCTGAAAACTAATTTTTACGAAACGGGCGCTTGGCGGTCGTGTAAAAAAATAAACTATTTCGTTCGATTCCCCAAAGGGACGCCGGCAGGAAATGAAATTCATTTCCTTGGGAATTGCCATGGAATCGCAAAGATTGATTCGGTATTAGATATTGTTCCGGTTCGGATTTATCCGGCGAGCATTAGCTTAGACGTAAGCCGACGTTGAGGAGCAAACGACGCACACGACCGCACAAA